AGTAAACACCATATTATAAAAGATTCACACCATCATAAAAACCCAAAGAGGAACAACAAAATAGTTATTGGATTTTTTTTTTCTCTCTCTCTCTCTCTCTCTCTCGTCGATCTGGAGGAATTATACCATTAGTTAAAATAAATGCATTTAATTTGGTCATGGTTATGTTTCACCGTCAGAATGGTCAACTGTGAAACAATCTTTTGTTATCTGTTTATTCACTATGAGCTAAAAGAAAAAAAAAAAAGCTGATTATGTACATTCTAAGTGTGGTAATTTCATAATTTTTACCAGAGCTTGTATCACTGCTAATAGAAATTGTATTATGCAAATTTGCATTGAAATGTTTTTGGGCATTGGAATAAATCACTCTCTAACTCACTTAAGATTTATATCTTATGCTTAGTTTTACCTCACAAAATGTTTGTGGTGTTTGCAGAACTTTGTTAATGAATAGCTGATACTACTTGTAAAACTGGTCATAGACATAAAATAAATTGCTAGATTTGGTCAAATTAAAACATTCATAAATTAGGTTGACATATCTCATGATGTTGAGATATACACCCACGTTTTTGCTAAAAAAGAACATATGACAAAAAAAAGGCTCCAAAGTTGATTTTTATCCTTTCTAGCACGTTTTGGTTTAAAAAAAAAAAAAAATTTTTTTTTTTTTTTCTTCATCTGTGGTGGGCTAAAGATTACTATGGGAATTTTAGCATCTTTTTTTGCAGTAAAAAAACATTGTTTTGGGAATTCTTGGATTCACAAATAAATGAAATTTTTTTTTTTTTTTTTTTTTTTTTTTTACCCTACTTATTTAATTTTGATATTTCAGGGAATTAAAATGTTAACCTTTTCATATTTAAATTTAAAAATAGGACTCTTTGGAAAATTTAAATCATCAATTTGTTTTTGTCAAACAGAAACAGCATTTGCTGAAAATCTGCTCCATAATCAATCAAAAATGCTGTAAAACTATGACATTATTTAATTAGAAAAACTTTTAATTGCTTTTTATAAATAAAATATATTAAGGATACTATTATCTTTAGAAAAAAAAATTTCCAATAAATAATAAATTTTTACAAGAATTGTTTTCATCTTTTTAAAACTATTTATTTCAGCCTTTCAGATGATATTATTAAGTGAAAACAATATTTACTAATCATAAATGTTAAAACTTAAAGGATTTTGAATTTTTTTTTTTTTTTTGTGTATAAATTTACTCATTTTTAACTATGGACAACCATACACAACATTATCAGAGCAATGATTATAATAAATTTAAAGTCAGCATTCCTAAAATTAGATTATGGAGAATATTTTTCAAAATTTTAAAGATTACGGAGTGCTTAAAAATTATATAAAAAAGGTTCTCACATAATTTCTTTTAAAATTATGTTTTACAGATAGTCTCCATAGAACAACAAGCAATCTGTTATCATCTTGTCAAACATAAACATGGCTACTGTCAGTCAAGGACACAGTTACTGTTTGCTTAAAAAATAAATTTCTGCAATATTTTAAACTTAAATGTTTCAAATCGGATTAATTGTACTTTAAATCTGCTAATATTCCTCAAATAATTTCAGAAAAGTATATTTTATTTTTGGAAGATTCTTTTAATAAAGAGAATTACATTGTGATGAAAGACTACTAAAAAAGGACACTAATCAGCTATTTTAGCAAAACAAAAACCTCCTTCCAGTCAATTTAAATTAGTTTTTGAAATACAGCAAAGTATTTTGCTTATTGGTAATATTAAATTTAATCTATTAGCTTGAAATTAAAACTGTGTCAAAAATTTTTCATTTTTAAAAATTCATTTTAAAGCATAAGTATAGTTTTTTTTTCTCTCTCTCTCATATATATGTGTGTGTGTGTGTGTGTGTGTGTGATGTTCCATCTTCCAAAAACACGATAATGAAAGACTGGGGATAAAGTGTGTATAAATCATTATTAATAATAACAACTGTACAGAATACATGTTTTAGTAAACTGCTTGTTTTAACAATTTATTTATTGCTACAAAATTTCTATTCAAAATCTATGGCTTTCCAACAACATCCAAGTTTGAGAAATGTACTTGTAAACTAAAATAATGTGTTGTAAATATGCTAATAATGTCAGTTTTACATTTCATTTAAGCTTTCAAACTTATTTAAATTACTTCTGATTTATTTGTGTAAAAGTAATAAATGTTATACTCTGTACAAATAGTACAGAATTTATAAACATAAATTGAAATTTTCTTTACATAATTTTAAATGTTAAAATGCTCAGAAAAAAATTTAATGCTGCTTATGAACTTTAAAGATTATTTATTCTACTTTACAGCCATGTTTATGGGATTGTAATAGAACTAGACTTTCCTTTTACCTTTTTTTTTTCTTTTTCAAAGAGAAGTTGTTGACAGTTCTTTGTTACTTATATCCTTATTTTTCTATAAAGTTGAGCTACTATATTAAAGTTTTTTAAAAAAAATGAAACTTTTTGCTATGCTTAAATGTAAAATTCATTTTTATTCCACCTGTATATTGAATTATCTTTTTTATGCATTGATTATAAATTAGTATTAAAATGGCTTAAATCCTGCCTTTTTTACTTAATCAGACACACCCTAGTATTAATCTTCAAATAAAACCAACATTGATTTTTTTTTTTTTTTTTTTTTTTTATGAGTTTGTCTTTGTTCATTGAGGTACTGTATACAGATATTTACTTCTAGTGTTTACGTAATCTGCATATTTCAAATCCAAGTAAACATTTAATTTCCAAAGTATTAGCATCCCCTATAAATTTTTAACTTTTCAGATTTTTTGGTAAGTGTAAATTTAGCTTCTCTTTTAGCAACTGACTTGTTTGGTTAATACTTCTATTTATAAGCATTTTATTACATGTGAATGCTTTATTTATTACAATTTTTTTTTTTTTTTTTTTTTTTTTTTTTTTTTTTAAATTTTTCATAAGTTCATTACTAATACATTGAACAAAAATTTAATCTTATTTATTTTTATTATATATATTTAAATTTGATCATCTTTAAAAATTATCAAATATATCTATAAAAAATATCATTTGGCAGTCCTTTTTTTGTCTGCTGATTAGTAGTGATAGGTAATTATTTAACTGTTCCATTAAAAAAAATAAAATTTACCCCTACTGATGTCTCTAAAGTATGTAAACTATGCCAATGAATTTTTAATATCTTTTCTTTTGGTATTTCATTGTCAATTTTAAATAGATATTCGTTCACAAATCACTCCAAAAGCAGCATCACTAATGCACATGATGCGTGCATGTGTTATTTTCTCTACTCCAGTTTTAGATTCCAAAGATTAGTCATTGTTCTTTGAGTGTCTGTATATTTGAAATTGAAAACTGATCTGGAACTAAAATGCTTGAACTTCCTCTCATTATTTCAAGATCACTCTACAAGCTCCCCTCTTATCACCATTTTTCTCTTTCTCTGCATTAACACTGTTAACAGAATCATGCTATTATTCATATCACTGTCAAGATTCAGAAGTAGTAATGACAATAGAATTAAGCAAGTTTGTCAAGCCTGTTCTGTGAGCCTGTCTGTGTGTTTTTTATTATTATTATTATACTGCATCGTATTAAATTATATATGCCACCTTAAAAGTTTCTCAAAAGAGAAATATAATTTATGGTACTTCAAATGAAAATCATATAACAGTTACAGTAATGTCTTTGAAATCCTCTTAGCATTAGTCTAATTAATAAGCATGATGAATTGAAAATAATTAAATTTGTCAACTTTATTTCTGAAAAAGAAAAAATTACTAATGATGCTCTTACAAATATTAATATTTGGTAAAATCTCCATATGCTATTTTGTATAATGCAGTCACCTGCTCTTTTCTTTATTTTTAATACAATTTAAGTTTGTCCTTTGTATGATGTGGGCAAAAATATATCTATTTTGTATAGTGATTTATAACAAGTTTTGATAGTATTATAAAAGTATTAAAGTTTCTTGTATTATACATTTTCTGTTAGGTTCTTATGAGGATAACTCTATATACTCTATATAAGCTTTGTGTGGAAATAAAAAGCTTGTCTAAAAAAAGATTTATGTATAAATTGATCATGTGAGATATAAACTGTTTTCTTTAATACCAAAGAAAACATAATTGGTTTATATCTGGGAAAAAAATTGTATACAACTTCCACATTCTCTCATCTAGTTATAAATTTAAAAGACAAAGAAATTAGTGCATTTGTATTAAACTGTAAAACAAAATTCTGTTTGCAAAGATGTGTATGTATTTTCACTGTTGTATTTTAGCTTCAACTTGACAAATCAGTATGAATATTTCAAGATGTTTTTTCTTTTAAGTAAATTGAAATGTCACTGCCAATTAGATACGGCAATAAGTAATGTGGGAAAGGATGTTTCTATTCACAGCTACCAAGCCATCAGTTCAAAATAAACATTTCAGTATCAGTGATATAATTGGTTATTATAGGAACTGACTATTTATGACTGAGGTTTATTGCTGTCAGCCAGATTTCAATCTACAAGCAACTTTTATTAACATTAAGTGTATCCTTATAACCAACCAATCAACTAAAGAGATTGCCAATATCCGGATCTAAGAAAAATACATTGGAAAATATATCCAATATTATATGAATGTTTAAATCAGTTGCAGACAATAATTTTGGAAATATTTTGTTAGTTATTTTTCTTGGTATCATATTTTTTTAAATTTGTACATGTCAATCACTGACAAATTTTAACTGTATTTCATTCTTATATACATCACAAAAATAGCTGTTATTTTTATAACTACATTTTTATTTTTATATTTACTGCAAATACAATATTGTCTTATTTAGGTAAGTAATACATAGATTTGAAATTTTGGAATGAGATCTTGCAATCCAGTTATATAATCATTTTTTTAATATTCAGTCTTGTTGAGTTTGAAATATTTTGGCTGAAACTTAACATTGATATCTCTTTTCAGTTCTTCCACCAGTCCTAGTCCCTCGGTATAGTGAGTTTCCAGCTGGCAATCATCCTCCTCACCAAATGGCTCCATTTCATCAAATACAAGAGCCAGCCATGCCTCACAATGTTACTTATCCATTTATTAACCAACAGCAACAACATCAACAGACCCAACATTCTCCGGCCAGTTCTGCTCCCAGCAGTCCTTTTGGACTTCCTGGTATGTCATACATCTGTCTTGCAAGATTTTATTTCTCAGTATATTTTAAATGTGTGCAATAGTTTCAGTAACCCTTAAATATTGTGCTTGGTACATAATGTTATATATATATATATATATATATATATATATATATATATATATATTAAGAAATGGACAAGGTCCGACAATTTATTTATTAAAGACATTTTATTATGTTTAACGTTGTTATTTTATAGATACAAGTATTTAAGCAAATGCTCTGTTTATGATAAACAGTATTAAATAACATTTACCGGCCTGAATGTCCGAGAAATTTTCATAGAAAATATTCGTTCTTTGACAGGATTCAACCTGCATCCTATACGGAACCGTCATATACGCTGACGTGCCTTTACCGCTTAGGCTACAAAGAAGAAATCAGACAAGGTCAAATTTACTGCTTATAAACTCCAATTTTCTATGAATCTCATACATTCATAACTGCTCTGGCGTATCGAATGTAAACAAATGACGTCATATATGAAGAAATGGACAAGGTCCGACAATTTATTTATTAAAGACATTTTTTATGTTTAACGTTGTTATTTTATAGATACAAGTATTTAAGCAAATGCTCTGTTTATGATAAACAGTATTAAATAACATTTACCGGCCTGAATGTCCGAGAAATTTTCATAGAAAATTTTCTCTTTGACAGGATTCGAACCTGTCCTAAAGAACCGTCATATACGCTGGCGTGCCTTTAGGCTACAAAGAAGCGACCTCTCAATATAAACTTTTTCTATGAATCGATTTTCATAACATTCTTGAAATGTTATTTAATACAAGGTTTATCCAGATATTTTAATTCTTGTAAAATAATAATATTCATAAAATAATTAAAATGATATTTCCGAGTTAAAAAACTGTTTTTATCCAAAATATATTCTATATATATATATATATATATATATATATATATATATATATATATATATATATATATATATATATATATATACACATTTATGGATTGAGTATTATGGAGAAAAGGGAATTTTTAAAAGCTAAAAAAAAAATGCATCACTCTTCATTAGAATTGAACACTAGGGCAGCTGTATGCCATTTATATACCACATATATAATGCATTAAAAAAAAACTCCCTTTTTCTGCCATGCACTGATAGCCTATGGGTAAGGGTCTCTGACTGTCAAATCTGTTGAGTTTCAATTTTGGCTTGAAACAATTGGATGTCTAGTCACACTGATGAGCTGTGATACAGCAAAACTGTCTGTGTAGAAATAACATGTGTCAAGTACAGTGTGTGTGAGAGAGTGATCGCATGATTAAATGTCACACTTCCAGGATACTATAACTTCATTTGATTAAAAAAAAGAAATGATGCATCACAATCAATTAAACCTGGAATGAATATATAAAACAAATAGGCATTCTTTAAAAAATGTAAAAAGTATTTTGTACAAAGCAGGTGATGGGTTTTTTTTTTCTCTCTCTCTCTCTCTCTCTCAAGCAGCATCTGTTTTTGAGCACTTCAACCTTTAATGGGTTGCATCTCACACTGATCAGGAAACCGTCTTAACTACATATTCTGAAATGAAACTTTGCCCCTTGTTTAATTTTTCTTTCTACTGTTAAAATAAAGGCATTCAGTTTTGTTTTTGTACTTCTCACTGTTACCCAACACCTGTTTGATTTATTGATCTTGTTACAAGATCTTTTCTGTGGCTTAACATCTTTCTGGTAAATTTTTCAGTTCTGTAATTTGTAGTGTTATAATTTTCTGATAGAATTCTGGTGATTTATTTTAACCAATTACATCTGTGTAAGCCTGATCTTAACATGTTAACTTTCTCAGATTATTGGTATGTCTTAAGCTCTTGCACTTAAACAAAAAATGTCTAAATTTGAAATGTTTATTTGCTAAGTGCGCATTCATTCTGTACTCATGTGACAGCACCAAAAACTATATCAAGTATTTTCATCTTTCATTGTTTGGGATGAAAAAGCAAGGCAGCAATACTAGACCATCAGGAAACACTGCAGATAAGTTTGTTCATAAACATGTACAAATTACTGAAGTAAGGTTTTAACATCAGAATTGAAAGTTGATTTTAAGGATCAGGAAGAAAAATTAGCATAGTACTATCAAATATAATTGAAGTAAATAGAAATGTTAATATTCATATGAACATATAATTGGAGAGTAGTCAGTTGCATTGAAATAGGTAATCATGAATAAATGTCAAATGGAAATAGTTTCCTATTTGTCTTGCTTAAAGATGTTTATTGTATAAAATTACATGAAAATATTAAGGATTCAAAAAGCTAATTTATTTAGAAATGCAATATAATATCAGTTTTTGAATTTCTTAACTCTGTTTTAAGTTTTAGCAAATGTTTTGCTGAAAAAAAAAATCACATATTTGATGTGAATATTGTAGCTTTCTTAGCACAGGCATTCTTTAACCTGATATATGGCTATTGGAACTGGCTTGAAGGATCTAACTTAAATATATAAATTTTTCATGCAGACACTCCTTGAAGTGTTATTTAGCATGATATCAAAATCTTTTAAAGATTAAATTTGTCTACAGCCTGAGGAAACATGAACTATTTTTAAGAAATTAAGGAAAAACTCATCCTTATTTTAAATTTTCAGAAATAAATTTTTACTCTAATTTTAAGATATCACTAAAAATAAATTAAAATGTTCTATTGCCTCAGAGACATTTACTCTAACTTTAAAATCTTCCTCTAGTACTAGAAAAAAATTACTTTGTTTTTATTATTATTATTAAAAATTGACTAAATGTATTGTTAAAGCTTAGATATACATATTTTGATATATTCTTCAGAATTCTGCATTTACAGATGTAACTTAGTGACTATAGTTGCAAGTTTTGATAGCTTTGAGTTTCTCCTACAAATTGTCATAAATGAAAGGAAGGAAAACTGGTTTTCAAACAGACCCAGGTAATCTTGAACAGTCAGTCTTGACCTTTTAAATCTTAAGTATATATGAGTTATTTACAGTCAGGTAAACGTTATGTTTATTGAGGACATAAGTCTGACTGTAAATGATGTAAATAACTACTCAAACCAGAAATTATATACTAATTACAGACATAAACATCTGGACCTTTTTTATTTTTTGAATACTATGAAATTATTTTAGTTGTGATCATTTATTTCTAGTATAAATATCAACCATATAATTTTAATATATATTTTTGTTATTTCTCAGTGAAAACTAAAGTGCTTAGTGACAATGCTGTTATTAGTACTTTATTTCTGTAGACAATTATAGCTGATGTTGCCTGTTGTGCTTTATCTAGATTTTATCTGTACAGAAGTGCTTTTAGTTTTTTTTTTTTATATTTTGATTTAATAATTTTATTGAATATAGTTTTTCTTTTTTGGCCTATAACTTTAGACAATCCTGAGTTTAAATCTTTGCTCACTAGATTGTTTGATATGACTTTTACAATTTAATGGTCCTACCTAATTAACTGTTTCACTTTCCAAACGGGGATTTTGAATAATTTTAATATAAATCATATTTTAAAATTTATTCAGTAAAAAATTACTTTTGAAAGATATTCTCTTTATTCACCTAGTGTTTTAAAAGTAAAAAAATATTAAAAATCTTCCAACAAATTCTTTTTTCAATATGGTTAGTTATAGAGTATTTTTCAATAGTAGTTTAAACTGATGGTTTCCATGCTGAAAAACATGAAATGTGTTCTCTTTTATATAACAAAATAACAATTAGTTTTCAGCATTTTGCCTATTCTAGAAGTGAAAATTTTTCCACTGTGTTTTTTATATTTTACAATACTTTTTTTTTCTTTTTGACTTGCTGATTTAGATTTTAGTTGTAGTTAGTAGAGGGAATAGTTTTAAACTTACAAGATGACACTTTATAGCATAATTCTGAGTTTCTTTTGTCACCTATTTGTGTAAGGTTTCTATTAAATTTATTCAGTCATTCATAATCTACATTATTAAACATTTAGATTTAAAAATCTATTTGAAATACCCGCTTGTTAATTTTTTATTGCTGCCTTTTCACCTGTTAATTTCAGTATTTTTGTACACTAATTTTTAGAAACACTTATTCTTTGCTTGTTTTATATAAATCTTTTTTTTTTTTTTAAATTCTATGATCAAACTTCAGTACAAGTTTTGTGCAGCTTTTATTTTGTCTTTTACTCCTTAATTTGGCCATCACCCATTGTTCTTTGTACATCTGAAGAAGAAAGCACACCTGCATAACACAATGTCAATTGTTACATTTAACAAAAGACTGATATTTAATAACAATATGATGGTTGTAAGAAAGAAAAAAAACAAACTAAGCCAGTTTATGGAACTTCAATAACAATTTTTCAAATGCAAATGTTTTCACCTTGTACTTCAAATAATTCAATAAAGTCACTGTTTAGCAAATGTGAATTTATAACTGCATATAAAATTGATGTAGAGTGTTGATGAAAAGTCTAATTTTGCATAAAACTTTTCTTATTCTCAACAGTTGATCTAATAGTATCAAATTTCTGGTGAATGCATTATAAATTAAACCAATCTAAAAAAGATAACGGTCATCTCAACTTCTGCAAATAATTTTTCATGCCTAGGTGTTACATAAGTAAAATTGTCATTTTTCAATTATCTTTTCTGACTATTTTCTCCAAAGGTGCAGAAAAATTTCATAAATCACTTTTGTCAGAAAAGTAATTTCAAATGCAGACACCTTTAATATAGGTAAACTGATTTTACTTCCAAAACAACTTAGCAGTTTTAATGGAGATTAGTTTCATTTGTAAATTTACTGAAAAAATTCTCTACAACCTTTTTGTAGATTTTTTAAAAAAATTTTTGTACTGTTAAAACGATGGATTGAAGTGACCAGATTTTTATTCTATTTTTATTAGATTTTACAATATTTTAAAGTGTGATTCCTATTAATCTGGATGTGTGTGCACACATCTGTCTTAATTTTACTGTAATGATATAATAGCTTGAAGTAAAAAAAAAAAAAATATTTTTAAGTTTCATTATATACCTTTTCTACCCCTCCCCCACAAAACACAGGTGAACATTTTACAGTTTACTTGTTAAAAATTAGTTTGTAGATTAGATAAAATTATATACAATATAGGAAAAGGCAGGTAAATCTGGGAATTCAAATCTTTAACTCTTATTGATTAATGTACTTTAGATGTCAGTAACTTTAAGTGCTATACAGAATATTTTTAAGATTAAAAATATAAGGAACATTTTTTTTTTTTTTCACCTATGATATAAATATTGCTGATAAAAGAAAATCCAGATAAACCCTAGCTGTTATCTTTTAGCTGATGTATTCTTAGCAAGTATTTACTGTTTTTAAATTATGATACAGGCTGATGCCTTTGTTTATATAGAAAATAGATTTTTCTAGTTTATAAAAGAAATCATTTTTTTAAAATCACATTAAGCATTTTAAAACCTGCAAAGCAAATAATAATATGGAAATATGTTGGGCATATGCTCTGCAACAAGATCTGTGTATGTCACTCTTATAAATGTTTCATTTTCAGCTTTCATCGCACTCGGTTGACAGACTGGTAATCTCCTCCACACATGAACTAGACAGCTTACCTGAAAAGCCCTCAAATATAATTCATACAGCCTGGAAACATGATGCCAGTCTTTCTTGATCCAATAAGTGTTTTTTGACCTGGGTAGAGTACAGTAATCGATGCTATGATTTTAATATCAGTGGCATGTTAGCCAACAACTAAAAAACCCTATATACAGTGCATTGATTAATGGGTTGAGCAACAGCAACATAAAATAGGGATGCAATTTGATGTAATGTTCCTGTTTGTTTGGTTGGTGGTTACTAACTTTTGCAGTTGCTGGCAGTCAATGTTTTTACATTATCTTATATTTTTCATATATTGCTGATATCTGTCCAGAATTCTCATATCTCTGGTATATACTCTTGTTAGTATGAGAAATCCCTATAGTAGTTGTCACCTCTGGGAAAGTATCCAATCTTTCAAGCTCCAACAATTATTCTTTAGTAAAACAGTGTTAAATCCTTTCTATGTCCTATGACTGTCATAGCTACACTATCTTTTTACCTGGCTGAGTACATTTCTAAAAATAGGAAAGGGGCGGGGAACTATCTAGTATATTGCTGTCTTTAATATTTTGTCACTCAAGTTTATTCCCCCCACTTAGACACTACATCTATGACAAAAGAAAATCCATTGTGGCTAATTTACAAATTTGTTCCTTTCACTACCAGCTTTAATGTGAACCTTTTTTTTTCATTTTTTTTTTCTAATATTATTCTTTGGTTTCAGCTGACACTCCACCTCCAGCTTACCAGCAGCATGATGATACATCTCAGAACAATATGGCCAACAATATGAACATGCACCAAGGGAACACGGGCATGCAACAAGGTGGTCAAAGCCCTCCTCAGCCAATGGATACCACTATAGCTACACCACAAGGTAGGCATATATTTTTTTCTTTTTTAACTCAAATTCCATTTGTCAAAATAATTCTTTTTCTTTCTTTTATAAAAGATAAATTAAGTCAACTTTGTGATGATTATACATTTATCTTAATATTTTTTGTGTAAAAATTCAGAAAAAATAAAATCAAGATATTTAACACTCTTGAAATTTATTGAATTATTCAACATCCATGGTTGAAAATATGTTTACATGGAAATTCATAATAAACTAGTTTAGGCTTCTCTCAGCATTGATTTTTTTTTTTTTTTTTTTGTTTAAAATCTGTAGATTAATGTCTCGCAAAATCTGAAATCTTTTCATACCTTAATTCAGGTTCAATCTCTAATACATGCTACTAGTAGACATATACATCTGTATGCGCACACTATATAATTGATACTTTGATTTTGTAATTTTCACATGATCAAATAGAAATTGTAAATTTTCTCAAAAATATATTTCCAACATTCTTCTTTCTGTCCTTTGTAGTTTGACAGTTTTTATTATAACTCTGAATATTTTGAGATATATATGGAAACTTTATAAACGGCAAAAAAAAATGTGTATGACATTGTTATCAATATTTGAAAATTGTTTTATGAAAACAAGCCTTTTTCATTTAGTAATATTTTTTTTTATCCTCCTCTATAACAATAATAAATTTCATAGTGTGACTATTCAGAAAAATAAGTCTTCACAAGTAAACTCCAAACAATGAAGCAATTATTTGTGGCAGTAAGTAGCATTTACAAAATAAATGTATTGTCGACATTTCCCTGGAATTTTTGTAAACAAGTTCAGCTACATAGGGTTGGATATGAAAATTTGCCAAACACTGAATGACTTTACAAAACTAAACAAACATGCAAATTCAAGACAATTTAACTTTTTTCTTTTCATTCCGTTTCTCTCTGCTTCTCTCTCTCTCCTTTTCTCTCTCTCTCTCCTTTTCTCTCTCTCTCTCCTTTTCTCTCTCTCTCTCCTTTTCTCTCTCTCTCTCTCCTTTTCTCTCTCTCTCTCTCTCCTTTTCTCTCTCTCTCTCTCCTCCTTTTCTCTCTCTCTCTCTCCTTTTTCTCTCTCTCTCTCTCTCTTTTTCTCTCTCTCTCTCTCTTTTTCTCTCTCTCTCTCTCTCGTTTTCTCTCTCTCTCTCTCTTTTTCTCTCTCTCTCTCTCTCTCCTTTCTCTCTCTCTCTCTCTCCTTTTCTCTCTCTCTCTCTCTCTCTCTTTTCTCTCTCTCTCTCTTCTCTCTCTCCTTTTCTCTCTCTCTCTCTCTCTCTCCTTTTCTCTCTCTCTCTCTCTCTCTCTCTCTCTCTTCTCTCTTTCTTTCTCTCTCTCTCCTTTTCTCTCTCTCTCTCTCTCTCTCACTTTTCTCTCTCTCTCTCTCTCACTTTTCTCTCTCTCTCTCTCTCACTTTTCTCTCTCTCTCTCTCTCACTTTTCTCTCTCTCTCTCTCTCACTTTTCTCTCTCTCTCTCTCTCCTTTTCTCTCTCTCTCTCTCTCCTTTTCTCTCTCTCTCTCTCCTTTTCTCTCTCTCTCTCTCCTTTTCTCTCTCTCTCTTCTCTTTCTCTCTCTCTCTCTCTCTCTCCTCTTTCTCTCTCTCTCTTCTCTCTCTCTCTTTTCTCTCTCTCTCTCTCTCTCTCTCTCTCTCTCTCTCTCTCTCTCTCCTTTTCTCTCTCTCTCTCTCCTTTTCTCACGATAATGTGGCGAAAAGTTTTTAATACAGTTTTGAATTTTTATTTATTTTCATCAAAGGTCTTGTCGTTATATTCAGTTTTTCTGAAAGAAAAAGATTGATAAAATTAACTTCTAACAACAATTATATGGACACTATTACATTTGATGTTAAGTAGTTAAATGTACAGTGGATGCCACAAAAATAATACATCCTATTTACTTCCACAGAAACTAAGACATAGGCAACGCAAGGATAAAGGTGGATAGAGGAAGTTTTCAATTACAAAAGACTGCTATTTAATATAGTCTTCAATATTGATTATGCATTTTCATCGGTGATAAGCTTTCATTTTGTGATTTGATAACTCTGCATAGCTGCCCAAAATGGGGCTTATCTCTTTTTCTCTCTCTCTCTCTCTCTCTCTCACACGTGTTGCTGCTAAAACTCATTACTCACCACCTAACTGTGCTCACATTCATTGTTTAGTTTCTGTAAACTTTTAGAAAGTGCCAATGAAGTCAGTAGATGCAGTTATTTCTTCACAAATTCAATGATGGATCTATTCTTCATATACATTTTCATGTCGGACATTATTTTCTAAACTGCAACTTGGCTACTGTTTTAACAAGGCAAAAATTTATGGGATGGTTCAAACTCTACTGGCATCAAACCCCAGCCTAAACCCACCTGCATACTACCAGCATCTTCCTCTGAGGTTGTGGGCCAACATAATAAAACAAGGCATTTCTTTCAGATCAAACCTCAGATCTTTTGGGTCACATTATTCATAATAGCTTAATGAAATCAGTGATGGATATTGTTTCATGTTATAAAATTTTTTTATTTTTATTTTTTTTTAAATCATGTTAATATAAACATGGTCAGTTTTAACATTGTCTATTATAACATCCCAGCCATGTACAAATCTTTCATACATTGGGTTTTTTGTGTATTTGAACAATGGCTCACAATATCAGTAAAACCAGTTTGTCAAGAATCTCCTTCAGCTAACACTAGATTCTGATCTTGCTTACTTGGCCGGTGAGCACATGACATTTTGCTATTCATTAAATTGCAAATTTTTAATTTTGAGACAAGTGCTTTGCTAATTTACATGGAAGACTGTTAAAGGTTAAATATGCAATAATTTTTACTAGTAAATCCATTGCAGTATTACAGTTATGTTTAAAATGTTCTCCACAATTTTGATTTGCAAAAACTTGTATAATTCATTTTAGTGAAGTATTTTTTTCATTATTTCATAAACAATTTTTTTTTTTTTTTTTTTTTACAAACTTCGGACAAGATGGTTTTATTTTTACAATCTGACATTCGCATAATATTTTATGAGCACTTTAGTGATGCTTGGAGGCATGAATACAAGTTATTTCATTGTTGCATAGTCTCCTCCTCCAAGCTTTTTAATGGAGATTTATTTTATCTTAATAGAAAAACTTTACAAATCTTCAAGATGAGGTTAATTTTTGTACTACAAATTAACAATGACCAGGATTTATGTGGTTTAATTTAGTGACACAGCAGCTACAGTATAAAAAAAAAAACATTGCTATAAAAAGCAGCCAACTTCGTTGATTTGTTAATAAGTGAAAATAATTGGAATATAATTTTATGCTGTAGTTAACTGGGTAAACAGCTTTCTAAATTTACATTAATGTTTTTCTCTGCAATTTTGTGTCAAGTTTGTGTGAGTGAATTTAATCCAGGGTTTTCATTTTAATTTATATCTTCTAAGTATCCTATATATTGTTCAGATTAATCAAAATAATAAAAGTATGATTTGCATATTCTAGAAATATCCACTTGTTTCAAAGGCCTGCCAATGTAAATGAAATAATTTTGACATATGTTATTGTAGCATCAAAAAATCAGGGGTTACAGAGGATTGAGAACAAGAGTAAAGAGGCATGTTTGAGGAAAGAATACAGAGGAGGACATGGAACAAGCTCAGGGTGTCAGATGTCAATTGAAGATTATAGTCATCGGGGAAACAAGTAAGGGAAGGAGTTCCACAGACAGGAAGTGCGAGAGAAGAAGCTGTTTGAGTAGAAGAGACTTACATTTAACCATTTTGACAGTGAAAAGGTGGGACTGAGATGCCAGCCTGGTAACTTGCTTAGATTCATGCAGTCTGGGAACTAGTGAAAGTGGCTTGTGGGAACAGTTGCCGTGAAAATACTTGTAGAAGAGACAGAGGGAAGCCACAGCATGTCTGTGGGATAGCAATTGTAGACTAGATGCCAGATCAGGACCTATTATATTGCATATTCGTCTCTGGATGGATGATTTATAGTTTTGATGGATGGACAGGCGAGAAAAACTTTGTTACGACACAGAGAACCAATTTTCCTTGCAGTAGATGAAGCTATTTATTCTACCTCATGTCTGTGGACAGTGTGAGACCAATCAGGTGTAACGAGGCACTCTCAGTGTTGGGAATCAGCCATTCTGATGGCAGGCAGGAAGGGTTCTTTGTGGTGGATAAAAGAGAGCAGTTTCATTTTGGAGGCCTTAAAGTTTACAAGCCATTTCCTTTCCCAGTCAACTACAGATTGGAGGTCCTTTTCGAGATCAGCAGCCAGGTTAGTTTTGTCAACGATACCAGATTTACTATTGAGGCAAGAATAAATAGTGTCTGCGTAGATGCCTACTTGAGAACTGATGACATTGGGAAGGTCATTGATGAAGATCAGGAGCCATGTAAGGCCTAAGATAGAGCCTTGGGGAACACCAGTATACATGATAAAGGAGCCAGGGGATAATCCATTTAGGACAGCCTTCATTTCACAGTTTGACAGGAATTTGTATTAAGTCAAATAATCGTCCTGTAATACTGTATCCCTGAAGCTTACAAAGGAGGCCAGCACGCCAAACCCTATCAAACGCTTTAGAAATGTCTAGAGCCACGATTTGAGCTTCTCCATTATTTTTGAGTGCTTGGTATACAAATTCAGTTATGGCCGTGAGCACATCAGCGGTAGATTGGGCAAAGCGGAAACCATATTACTTGTTGAAGAGTAGATTATGTGAAGTAAGGTGTTGATTAAAGTCTTGAAGACCTTACTGAAGAGTGGTAGGAGATTGATAGAACGATAATTAGACGGGTCAGAAGGATCACCAGAGTTCTTAAAGACAGACGCAACAGATGAGGACTTCCAACAGGCTGGAAAGCAAGAGTCAGTAAGGCAGTAGTTGTAAAGTTTAGAGAGGACAGGAGCACAGCAGTTCAATAATCCATATGCCAATAAACAAACACAACCAACATGAAAGAACTCTTTCATGACATTAATCCATATAATATCCTACAATTTCTTAAATCAGACTGTATTCCAAAACAACATCAACAAAACTACAACATAAAACACCCATGTCGCAGCCTCTACTAATTACATCCACACAAACATATATATATATATATATGCACAAAAGCTAAGTACCATGTATTCAATTGTGAAAGCAGAATAACATGTTTTTATTACCTAAAAGCTCTCAAGAAAATTAAATTTCAGCATTAAATAACCCATAAGGAGTTGATATCCTCTTAAACAAATCAATCAAATTAATTATCAATTTGAAGAAAAAAAATGTTTTATGGGATCCAGAACAAAGTATTCAGATGTTATCTTTTGTGTCTTAAGAATGCTGCAGTTTTAAGATATTCAAAAATTTGTTTCAGAAGATGGAGAACAGAGATTTTCTTTTATTGCATTTACTATTAAATAATAATGAATGATCACCTTTTTATAGATATACTTAAATTGTTTTGAAGTTGGACACAAAAAATGTATATGGACCAAGGTTCATGCAGGTCTTGGAAACCTTCAAAAGGCCTATTCCAGGGCTACAAATAAGTTCCCTTATATTAAAATAGGCTTGGTTTTAAATGTTTTTCTTGGAATCCCACTTCTATTGTTTATCTGAGTCATCTCTTTTATGCAAAAGTCAATAATTTGTAAGAAAAAAATAAGTTTGGCATGTATGATGCTGCTCCTACCTCCAAATTTATAGAAGCATGCTCAATTATTTTAATGTTGACATTGAAAATTTAGTGACCAGTAGAACTTAAGACTCAGTATGTGAAGTTTTTTATATATTGTTAAAAAAAATATATTACACAGATATTAAACATTGGAAAGAGAAATCTTTAAATGCATTGGTGTTTGTTTTTAATTTTATTTAATAAATTAATACTTATTGATACCAACTGATTCAGTTAAGAATAAAAGTGCATTCCCTTTTGACAAAGGTGGACTAATAATTATTACTAGTAGCTATAAGAAGGAAGGAAATACTTTTGGGCTATTTCTTACAGAATGTCTTTATTCATACATTAACTGAAATAGGATGATCAGTTTATATCAATTTACACATACATTGTCAAAGAATATTACAGAAAAATTCCTTGCAATAAAAACACACACACTTAAGTTAAAACTTGCATTTTTAATAAAGTATCCAGTTGTATCAATAAGATGTGGGAAGACATTTCTAATATTTAAAGTGCATTTATGTGTGTAGGTCCCCTTCTCTTTTGTTTGATCAGTCAAACTAAATTTAAAAGTAATCCATCATGCACATTTACAACTCTACTATTCATCTATGGATTGAATACTGTTGCCATATATGATCTAGTGCTCCTGCTGTGCATCTCGAGATTCTTGACAAAATCCAAATAAGGATTCATAATGTAATCAATTCTGACCTGGTATCTCAACTTCTGTCACTTTCTTACTGATGTGACGTAGCTTCTCTGTCTTTTCTACAAATATTTTCGTGGCAATTTCTCTGACATGCTTTTTTTCCCCCCCAGTTCCTCTGACTACATGAATTTGTGCTACTAGATTGGCATCTAGGTCCCACCGTTTACTGTTGAATAGCTAAATGCAAATGCCACTTTTACTCCAACAGTTTCTTTTCTCACACTTCCCACCTGTGGAACTCTTTTCCATTTATTTGCTTCTCTGATAACTACAATCTTCAAAAGTTTAAATGCAACATTAATTGCCATCTTCTGTCTTAAATTCTCTTCATCTTTTGTCCTTTCCTCAATCCTCCCTTTTCTCAGTCTTCTCTTTCAGTTTCACTCCCTGTAATCCCCTGTGTACTAGTGGTATTCCTGCCTTGCTTGAGGTAAAATGATTTTAAAAAAAAAAAAAAGAAAAAAAAAAGTGGTTTAAAGAACCACTTGGGTACAGCAATGTGCAGATATAATCCAGATTGTTACTTTTAAAAAAATTCTGCCCTCTGATTTTTGTGCAATTTTTCTTTTGTTAGCTCCCACATTTTAATGATTCAATTTTTCTATATTGAGTACAAGCAACAAATAACTTTTATAATTGCTTACTGGCTCTAAAAACAAATTTCCACACATTTCCAATTTTCATATGATATAACGATTATAACATCCTGGGTATGACGATAAACTACGTCCACATCCTGGGTATGGCGATAAACTACATCTGACAACAAGGCCTTTTTTAGGAGTGTGGAACCACCTCTTAATTGCTGGCATTCCCAGATTCACCCCGGGTCAGGGTGGTAGCACATGATAGGGTCCCAGTTATGGGCACTAGTTAACCCCAAACTGGGGTCAAAATACTATGAAAGTGTAAAAAGAGGTTTTCATCCCAGCAATACATTTTTGGAAAAAATTATTACCAGCAATACATTTTTGGAAAAAAAAAAAAAATAACCAGCAATGAAAATCTTTTTGACATTAAATAACCCATTGAGGTTGACATGCTGTAAAACAAACCAAATCAAACCAATATGACTTTGATAGTAATTGCTTGTATTTGGGTGTTATGAAATTACATTTTCCTTTAAGTTAAATGTTATTGTGAAAATATCTAAACTAATTTAGGCATTAATTTATCTGTGCAATATAGCAAATACAATTAAAATACACATAAATGCTACATGCAGCTGAAGAAAAAGAACCTATCACTGCAAAATGTTTTCTATATCTTTATATCATAATTTCATTATTAGAGGATGAAATTAAAATGCATATAGTTAAGAGTTGACAGTTTTAAGATTTACTAATGATTTTTAACTATACAGATAACTATGCAGGCATATTTTAGTTTCATTATCTAAATTTCTTAAAAATAACCTTTAAGAATATACAAATAGATTTTGAAATGTTACTAACCTTCATTGAGACATTTTGTTAAAAAAGACAATACTGCAACTTGCTAATTTAAGTTTTGATTTTTATTCCACATACCAGAAAGCATTTTCAGCTGCTCTATGAACAAATAAATTGACCAGTCTCGTATTTTTTATTAAAATATGAAATTTTCTATACTATATCTAAATGTAATTTGAACAATAGTTATACTGGATTTGAATACCAATTTAATTTAGGCAAGGCTGAGTTAACCTTTAATTTTCATCATGCATTTTATAGAAAACTAAATTGATTTATTTAAAAAAAGAAATTAAGTAGAGGTAAGTAGATGGCATTAAGGGTCACATATACTGAGTTGTCTGTTAAATATACAATGCTGACATAGCACAGCTAATGATGGCATAATCAGGCTACACCAGAAAGGTTGAATGGATTTTAATTATATTTGTTGGATCAATTCATAGGATGAATGTTTACATACAATTTCTGTACAGTACAAATATTTAAATTCTTTTGTTTACTGTACTTGAGCAAGTTGCATTATACTATATAAGGTTTTTCTTTTATCTGAATTGGAAATTTAACTTGTATTTTTCCTAATTGTGTTTTCTATATATTTAATAATAGAAAAATAGCAAACTGAATCTACAGGGTTGTAAAATTAAAATTTAAGAACTTTATAATCTTTTTGCATTATAATTTTTTCCCTTCAGACTTTTATGTATGAAATATTAAAAGATCATTTTATTAATGTAATTTATCTTGATTTCACTATATTAACAAGAAAAGGAGTTATTGTTAGTATCTTATATGTCAAATTAACAAAAAAAATTAGCTTTTTTTTTTATCTTTCTCCACTTTGCTCAAAATCATTGTTAATAGAGATTTAACTCGGTAAATTTGTCTTTACTTTTTGGTGCAATTTGGACAGTATCTGTTTGTCTTCTTGCTTTTTTTTCAGATGGTATGCAAGTAACATACCAAGAACCCCAGTATTGGAGTTCCATTGTCTACTATGAATTAAACAGCCGTGTTGGAGAAGCTTTCCATGCCTCTAACACCAGTATTGTAGTTGACGGATTTACAGACCCTTCCAATAATGCACAGCGATTTTGTCTTGGTCTGCTGTCAAATGTCAATAGAAACTCTACTATAGAGAATACTAGAAGACATATTGGTAAAGGTAAGAATGACCTTTTATTTTTCCATATAAATGATATCTTTTTTCTTTCTTTTATAACTAGTTGCTAGTTTATTTTTTTATGAACAAAGGGCAAACGCTTTATCATTTCAAGGGATAAATAAATGTGATTAAAAATTGACAGCATTTTAGTCAGTGCTGGTATTAGATGAAAGATTAACTTTTCATTATATTGATATTATTGTCCACTAGTGGATTAATCCCTATTTAAGATATAAATAACCTGTTCACTATATTGAGATTACTGAATTGCTACAGATTTTAACCTCCCTTTTAAATGAATGTTCAATATCAACTCTGTGTCCAATGGAAGTTTTGTATCACTGTTGGATGAACTGGCACCAACACCATCATTATTATTCATCACATATATTTCTTAATATAGAGGAATGGATGTTTTAAATTCAAAATAAGCTTTAAAAAAATTTTAATATTTAACCTTTTTTTTTATTATTTAAAATGTATTTTACAAAAATTTAGTATGAAATTTATATTTCTGTAAATATTTACTAAATCATTACTACTACAATACTACAGTACACTTTTTAGTTAATCATAACAAAAATTCTCTGAATTTCTGTAAAGTTTTAATAAAATTGCTGCATTTCTGATATCATTAAGTTATCTGGTATTTGTATTTTTCATTGGTGTTAGAATATGTTACCTTGTCATATTAATGGCAATTTAGATATTGTACATTGTGTGGTCATAGTAAAAAGTTATCTGTCAGCGTTAGATTTTGAGTCAGTTATCAAATGCAAATTTTTTTTTATTTATTTTTTTTAACATACTGAATCTTTTTAGTAAAACTTTATTTTCTTTCTTTATAAATTTCTGTTTTGAGTGATTTAGATATCTAAAATCAAATTTCCATAAAGAAACAATTTAGTTTGAAAGAAATTGTCAATTGCTAGAAATTACTTGTGCTTCATTATTATACTTAAAACAAACTTGATAACTGTTATGTATTTACTTTTACTCCTTTGTTGCTTTCTCAATCAATTTTCCCCACTTAAATATCAGATTCTCCTTTGAAATTGTAAAAAGATTATAGCTTGGGAATTGTATAAATTTTTATCTTTGTATTGAGAAAAGTTTATAATTGAAATCTATCCCAGTCCACTTTAAATCTAGCAACCAAAATGATTATTCAAAATTTTCATTGGGCTTAATGCTGTGCTCAGCTCATATTTTCATTATTACTTTGAATGCATTATTATCTATACAAGGTACTTACTTACTACTTGCATAATTAAATCATAATGAAGTAATACTTTTCTCCAGGTACTTTATTTTATAATTATTATGAATAGTTTTGATGAAATTATCTTCATTATAGAAAAAAAATAATCTTTTTAATCTTTGGTAAAGTTTCACATATTTGTATTTATTCATAATTTATCTTCTGACTTGACAAAATGGGATAGATTCTCATATGTATACACTCTTGACCTCAGAAAAATGTCTTTTTCTTTTCTTTTTTTAAATCTTGTTTGAAAGCATATTGATTAATCTTTTAGTTAGATAATTTGTATTTATTTTTAAAATTAATTTTGAGATATATATACTTCAATGATTTCTGTGTGTGTACACACACACACACACACACACACCAAAAGTATGTAAAGATAATGGTAGGTGATGCCATTGTACCTTGACGTCATAGAAATGCCCAGGTATATATCAGTTGTGTTGACATCTGGTAAATCAGTGTAAGCACTGGTATGACAAGATGATGTGAATTATCTTAGTTTGAGTTTGGCACACGCTCCATGATGCCATGTACTCATTTTGTCAACGAGTTTCAGTGTAGGCTGGTAGTGGTCTCAAAAGTGTGGGTTGTGTCTGTGGGATTGAGTTGGGTCTGCTGATCCACCTAAACATATCTTTGACTGGTGACTAGTATTTTGCACTACTTTGGGACCATTTGCACCCTTTTGTGGACTCCATGTACCCCAACAACGATGAGTTATTTCAACAGGATCATGTACCATGTCATCAGGTCCAAGTTGCTCAGAATTAGTTTTAGGAGCATTCCAGAGATTTCTGATGAATAGTGTGGCTAGCATCCAATTGAGAATTTATGGGACATGGAGGAGAGGTCTATTTATAGACAAGAACCTGCATCTATAAATATTAGGGAGCTGTGAACAGCTATTGAGATGACCTGGTTCACCTGTCTAGAGGTCCTCCAATCACTTGGAATCAATATCACATACAGTTGGTAGACTTACCAAGTGAAAGGGGTGGGCAATTACTTTTCTTTGTGAACCACATTGTTTCTATGGTCATGACTACTGGGCTAAATGCTTTTGAAGACTGTATATTGAAAAATGTAACAGTATGAAACTGAAAAATTTTCATCATCAGTTAATTATTAAAAACATCTTGCTAGTTGTAAAGTTAAATTACAATTCACTATAATGTAAAAATTGTATTATAGCATAAATAATTCACAAGATGCAAGAAAAATGTATTGTAAGAACAACAGTAGGTTTATAATTAATGAGATTGATGTAGTCTACTGCAGTCATTGACTAGTTTGCTTAAATCTGGCTCCAAGCTGCTTGTGATAATTCTTAATACTGCTTGAAGATTTGAATTTGTCAAAAGAAATCTATTTTTGCTTTTTATAACTTTCATACTTGAAAAAGTTTGCTCACATATATAAGTGGATGCAAACAGAACAGTTTTCTTAAAGTCTTTCAAATTTTTGAAATTCTCTGGGTGAAGAGATGCATAAATTTCCACTGTATTTTTGTGCAGGCTGATCTTTCAGAATGGGGGAAGTGAGCAAAGTTTTCATTAGACACTCGTTTAGTAAAAAGTGTAAGCTTTGTCTGAAAGGATTTTACCTCCACAAATAAATCATGAGCAAAGACATCTTTACCTTGAAGTTTTGTGTTGAACTTGTTCATTTTTTGCATGGTATCTGTAGCAAATACAAAATCACACACCCATTCTGCAACCTTTTTTTTTTTTTTTTTTTTTTTTGTGGAGAAGTCACAAGTCACATCCTTTATTTCAAAAAACATGAAAATCTCTTCTTTGAGGTCCCATACTCTTTTCAAAACTTTTCCACCTTACATTGGTGTGATACAACACATCAGAAAAATTAGACTCCATTTCATGCAACAAATTTTGAAACTGTCTATGGTTTAGTCCCCTTGATCTTATCATATTTACTGCACGTTTAAAATCCAATGAAAGCAGTTTGTGAAGTGGGAAGTTTGACTGAAACTTGTCATTTAGCCGTTTGACAAGTCCACAATGTGTCCCAGTTAGTGCAGGTGCCCCATCAGTTGTTATGCTCACAAATTTATCAAGGTATAACTGCAAATTTTCCAAACAATACATAAGACTTTCATACAAATCATTCCTGGTAGTAGTTTCTTTGAGACTCTCCATTGACAACAGTTCTTCTGTGTTGTTGAAATTTTCATTAATACTGCAAATGAAAATCAGCAACTGTGCAGTATCTACTCTGTCTGTGCTCTCATCTAAAGCAATTGAGAACCACTTGAATTTATCTGCAGTATCCAAAAGTTTTCCATGCAAGTTTTCAGCAATGACATCTATTCCACGAACAGTAGTTCTCTGTAACAATGAAATTGCTTCTACTATTGTCTTTACTTCTGGACACACAGTATCAATTGCATCAATTATACATTCTTTCACAAATTCTGCATCAGAAAATGGCTTGTGTTTTGCGATCTTATTTGCCAATATAAAACTTGCTTTTGTTGCAAGCTCTTGTGTAGATGTAAAAAGTATGCCTTGTTGGTATTTCAGTTTTTTTAACTATATCCATTGCTTTGTTTTGCAGTTCTTGCATGGAAGAGTTTTGGCTGAAGTTGCCATGTTTCAACTGAAAATGTCTTTTCAAATTGTATTCCTTGAATACTGCACAAGTATCATGGGAAAACAGGCACACAGCTTTTGTACCATTTTCTATGAAGAATTACTTTTGAGTCCAGTCCTTCTTAAAAATATGATATTCAAAGTCAACTTTGAGTCTTTTAGAACTCATGGGTGACTGCTTTTTCATTGTTTTAGAATCTAACTTACTAAAAATAAAATAAATAGCACTCTCTTTAAATCTCATTTACAAATATCCTGCAAAATGATACTTAAACTAAAATTAGAATCAAAGCAAAATTATTACAAATGTTTCTTCCAAGAAGTTTTAATACAATCTTTAAATACCCGGAAAATTTTTTATTAAATTTGTAAATATAAAAGTAACAGGGCTATATTAAAAGCCTTGGTGGGCCAGATGTGGTCCACTGGTTGTAATTTAACCACCCCAGTTTTACACAATACTAGACACCTAACCAATGACTTTAGCACATTAGTGTAAGTCATGATGGCATAATGCTATGTATTGCGATATTACTTAAAAGAATTTCAGAATTTTTTGTAGCTAAACTCTTACTAAAAACATCTGCAAATGATTTCTATAAGGTGGTGCTGAAAAGTTTTCAGCTTAACCAAGAAGAAATTCAAAGAAAAAAATATTCAGTTATTTAGTCAGATTTTTGGAAGATTTTATCTCCTTATCAAAATGGCAGAAAGATTTTTGTGTGATTTTTCTACTCTGGAGCAAGTTATTATAATTTGTGGTAAACTGAAGTACCAAAAAATTAGACAGCTAACATGTAGCTTCTTCCTCTGCCTGGATAATGGTGGCTATCTAGTATGACATGGATTTGAAGAAGTTGTTGCCTCCATATATCTATTTCAAGACTGTTCAGAACTGGGTTGTTTTTTGGGTTTGGCTGCAGTGAATTTAGTGAAGATTTTAGTATGTCCCATACATCAAATTACAGATGATATAATATTTAGACTTGGAATAAATAGCTGTTTATTATTAACCATTTCACACTTATTTTTACACTTTAAATTTCCTATATATCAATGGAGTTTTAAAATGTTAATATTTGTAAAGATCATGGGCATTTTCATAAAGTTACAGATGTTTT